TGAAAAGCATTTGCGGAAAAGAGCGTCTAGATTGGCAGGATGCTTTTCCGCAAAAGCACTTTTTGCGGAAAAGCATCCGTGGACAATCTAGACGCACTTTTCCGCAAAAAAGCCCCGGTCGCCATTTTCGGGATCGGGGCTTTTTTGCGGAAAAGAAATCTCTGCTGTCTACACTGGCCCTTTTGCACAAAAGTCTTTCGGAAAAAGACTTTTACCCAAACGGGAGCAGCATAGTATTTCCAGATGTAAGCAGGGGCTGAACTGCTGCTTGCTGTCAGCCACCCAAAAGGAGGGGTGGGTGTGCCCACTAGGCAGTGGCTGTAGCAGGAGGCAGAGGAGGGGGCCCCGGGTGGAGTCATAATAACCAGGGAGGACCTATTGGAAGAGGAAGGGGTAAAATAGCAAGAGGGCAAGGATGTGAAGGTAGTGTGACCCTGGTCGTAATGAGTGCCACTATTGTGGTGAGGCAGGACACTGGAAAAGGGAATGTCCTTTCAGACCAAACCCTGATTTCAAGACTAAGGTAGTGGGTCAGCTGAACCTCAAGACTCAGCGGATATGTGAGGAAGTGACAACTCTCCTTATTTCATGAGCTGCTAAGGTCTGACACTCTAGACCCGGCAGACTCTTTCTTTGGAGTGTGTAGAGTTAGTTTAGGTGGGGATTAGTCTAAACATTTCCCTACACTGCTGAAAGGCACCCTTGCGTACTATATGTATGTGCATAATGGTTCAAGGACCTGTAAGCATTTAACAAATTGGAAAAGAGAAAAATTAAAGCCCTGAGGGATGAAAGTGAAGCTTAGAAAAAGCAAAAAAATCCGCCCTGCAGTGAGAGCTGCAGCACCTATGTGCCAAAAATAATGCACAAGAAGTGGGAAAAAAGGATTTCTTAGTTGGCACACCTGTATCAACCAAGCTGGGGGGGGGAGGGAATTCGGCACAACATCACCCCCCCCTCCCTTTTATGCCGCATACACAGATAAAGAGGAAACACGAAAAATAACTGAAAGGAATCAGGAGGTGTGGGGGGCTAATTGGAAAGTCCACACTCCTTACCAAATTAATACTGAACAGACTTGTGTCATTGGAAGACATCATTTAGCAGAAATCAGGATGGACCATAAGAAGGAAAAAGCATGTGAAAGGGGAAGGCAAGAAGTTTGGAGCCCTATAGGTGTAGTGAAAGGAATAAGGAAGGTAGAGCAAACATTAAAGCGTCACTGGGAATGAGGAACGTTTTCTTTGGAAGAACTATGTCAAGTGATTAAAGGGTATGTGAAGGTGAGAAGTGACTCTGTGGGAGAGTGGATGAAATTAAGCAATTGTTGTAATATGTAAAAGGAACCCTGCTTTAAAATGATTCCTTGTTTCTTGTAGCCTCTTTTAATCATCTAGGCAAAGAAACAATCAAGTTTAAACATTTGGCTACAGACACTTTCTTAAATCTATTAAAAAGAAATAAGAAATTTTACTGGAACTTAACTGGTTATTGGTACAAAAGAATGAAATCTATACATTGTAAATTTGTAAAACCTGCACACCTGCCGGTTGCATTTGTCTTCCAAGGAAACTAATTACTGTTTTAAAAATCCAAGCCCAGAAACTTCACGGTGTTTCCGTTTAAGGCTGAGCTGATAGCACTTCTGGTTTGCTTTCAGATCCAAGGTTGTGTGTGTCTGCAAACTGCCTGTCTGTTCTGGAAAGGGTGCTTTTGCGGAAATTCAAGCGGCCAGTGTAGACAACTGGCAAGTTTTTCTGCAAAAGCAGATGATTTTGCAGAAGAACTTGCCAGTCTAGACACAGCCGGTCTGTTTTGTATTGTGAAGACAAAAGCCCTAGCTATTGAACTTGGCTAACGCCACCTGGCAGAAAGGTTACATGTAGGAATGCCAGTGGTGGTCATGCTGGTGGCAGAAGGGCACTATGTATGACAGAATAAAAATATTTAAAAAATCAAACTTTGCCATAGACTTCTCTATGGATAGAAATTCCACGCTTTGCTAAGAGTACAGCTAATACTAATGAGCACCAGAACAGGATGGTGAAGATGACTGTAAATCACAAATGCTACAAAGGCAGAAAATGAAGCAATTACGTGGGATTTCAACTGCATGGGTATGTGTACAGTACAGAGTTTTTTCAGAAAAACAGCATTTATGTCCACGCTGCAACTATGTTTTTGAAAAAAAAAAATCAAAAGAACAGAGTAGTTTTTCCGACATTGGTAAACCTCTTTCTAGGAGGAAGAAACCTTTTTGGAAAAGATCTTTCAGAAAAGGCACATATGGATGGGGAAGAGGGAGTTCTTTCGGAAGAAGAGGAAAGAGCAAATAGCACAGATGCCCCGATGGCCACTCCGCCCATAGTAAGCTCAGCTTACATGCGAGATCACCATCCACACTGAATAGATGCTGTCAAAAAAAGCAGATCATTTTTTCGATGCGCTTTCACAGTGTGGATGCTCTCTTTCAGAAGTTTTTTCAGAAGATCTCTTCTGGAAAAGCTTCTTCTGAAAGAAGCCTGCAGTCTAGACATAGCCATGTTTGACTGGTTCATGGAACTTCAGGGCGGGATGTGAAAATGGGATTTCTAGACACCGTTAACGTCGGCTTCGTGGAGCAGCCAGCCCTGGAAAACCCACAAGAGGAGACTACGCTGCCACTTTTGTTTCTATTCTTCTGTAGAAAGAGGTTTTTCCAACATTTGGCCTGTCTAGACTGGGCCAAATGTCAGAAAAATCTCTTCTTTCAAAAGCCCCCTTGTTCCTCGTGGAACAAGGAATACAGGTGGATTACCAAAAGAGCATGTTTGCTCTTCCGCTAAAAAAAAAGCAGAACAAATGCGTCCCTGGATGCGGAAGAGTTTTTCTGGGATACCTCTGGAATCCCGGAAAAATTCCTGTAGTCTAGCCATGCCCTCACTGGGATTAGACAGGATGTGTAGGCTCTGGGGTGGGAATGAGGGATTTGGGTGTGGGAAGGGGTGAGGTGCAAGCTCTGAGGGGGAATTTGGATGCAGGAGGAGGTGGAGAAGGGGACGCTGGCTCGGGGAGGGGGCTTCAGACTGTGGAGTGTTGAGGTCAGGTGGACGATGGGGGTACTGAGAAAGCCACAGGCTTGTAGAGGAGGGTGCAGGAGTTTGGTTTGGGGTACGTGAGGGGATCAGGGCAGGGAGGTTTGGAGTATGATGGGCTCAAGACAGATTTACAGTGTGTGGCTGGAGCAGAAGTGTTGTGGCAGAAAACTGAGGACGTGGGGGGTGCAGGAGTTTGGGAATGTGAAAGGCTCAGGACAGTGGGTTCCAGTGTATGATAGGCTCGAATCTAGGGTGGTGCAGGAGTGTCATGATGCTGCGGCCAGATGGGAGGTTGACCTCCTCCGGGGACTCCTCCCCCCTCCACCTTCTGCAGCAGAGGAGGGAAGCCCCAGCACATGCCGCCTCCTCCCAGGACAACTCCTCCAGAGAAGGAAAGCCCTGGCACATGCCTCCTCTGGGGAATCCTACCCCTCTTCCCCCCTCTGTGCAGCAAGTCCCCAGCATGCCACAGACCTTGGTCTGGTACTACGCTAGCTGTTTGAGGGAGGGGGAGCAGCCAACACTCTTCCTGAAACCCGAGAAGTGGTGCGCAGCTGACAGACTTCCTTCCACCCCGCAGGAAGACGGCACTACTTCCAGTGTCACTGGAGGTAGGTAG